TGGTACCCAGGGGCAGACAATGCCTTGTCAGGCCTTGAGTGAAGAAGGCATGGCAGAGCATCTCAGGCTCCAGGTTGCCATAGCCACAGGGTGTCAATTTCAGAAGTCAGTTTCAACTGCATCACTTTTTCCTGTCAGTTTCAACTATGTCTCTTTCTCCCTGTATTGATGTTGAGGGTGCCTGGAGAGTGGACAGAAACAGCATGGGTTGCCTTTTAAAGTGTGAGAGGTAGAAGCTTTGGGAAAACAAGAGGTAAAGATGCTCTCTATTTGGTTCAAGTTTTTGTTCCTACGCTGCAGATACGGTTTGTGGAATGTTTTCTGTTTTGGATTTATGCATCTGCTAGCTTGGTTTGGAAGATTCCTGGAAATGGGGGCTTGGCACTATGAATTTGAATGATTGAAGGGCCCTAATCAAACCACGAGCTAAGGTCTAGCTGAGAGTGAGGCTGCATTAGCAGGTTCTGGGCTACCATTAGCTTTTGTCATGTTCAAGACACAGGTGGGAACCTATCAATACCTTTCTCAAAACCCTTTAGAGGCCAAAAGATAAAATCAAAAAGACTCAGCCTGGCAGTAAAGGGAGTCCACAGCCTTATGTCCCCTTCACAAACACTACCGGTTTAATTGCCCTAAACTTCATGTTCCTCATCAGTAAAATGGGTAATGTTAGACCTGGAAAGGACATTAGGACAAATAATATGAAAGCTAGAAATGGCCTTGCATATCATCTACTACATACCTCTCATTTACAGATGAGGAAACTGAGGCCTAGAGGACAAGTGACTTGTCCAAGGTCTCACAACCACTTAGTGACAAAGCCAATCCTACACTCCAGGCTGGACTCTTTCCCCTGCCCCACACATTGTTTAACCCTGATCTATTATGGCTGTCAGAAGACATCTCCCTCTTCTTGCTGAGTTGCTGCGCTAGGGTTAAACAGTGTCAGGGTACAAAGTCGAAGACTGAGCCAAATAATTTAGTAATGGGGGTATCATGACCCAACAGAGCTTTCTTGAAGGCTTTCATAGCATTTAGAAGCAGAACAGGTGTTGGACACTAGCTAGCCCAACCCCCTCATTTGTATCAAATACTGATTTTTCCACATACTCGTCAGAAGCTAATACAGTCTGCCATTTGACTTAAAGTCTGACATCTGACTTAAGCCCAGAGAAATAAAATGACTTGCCTGAGGTCATACAACAAATTAGTGGCAGAGCCCAGAATGAGGGTCTGGGCTTCCTGTTTCCAAGTTCTAGATCCATAAGACTTGGGTTTAAATGTTGCTTGTATCCCTTACTAGTTCTGTGACCTACAGCCAACCTCACAATGACAAAAATCTATGTTTGCCTTTAAGAGTTTTTTTTTGTTTGTTTAAAGTATCACCAAGTGAGGCAGTGTGTTGATGTAACCACAGTATTGGATATGGGGGTCAGAGGGCCTGGGTCAGAATCCAAGTTCTGCTATTTACTGCCTGGATGACCTTGGGCAGGTCATTTCAATTCTCTCCTTTTTGTTTTCACATGTCCGGAGCTCTTTCTACAGGGCACTGGATGGCTCTGACGTTGTTTGAAAGTGCTGAGGGACAGTAAAAGGAGACTGGCTGTCTTGCCAAGCTTTCCTGAGCAGGAGTGATCCCTGACCCCAAAAGTTAGATTTAGCAACAATGGTTGATCTTTGATGAAAAGTTCCCCTTCCCTGTCAACATGACTGAGCCATAGGATAAAGTCCAAACTCCTTAATCTAGTATTCAAGGCTTCTGCAACTAAATCTCAACTTCAGTTTTTAGACTTATCTCTTGCTTGGAGGTAAGCATAGCAAAGTGGAAAGAACAACGAACTTGGGAGGCAAAAAACCTAGCTTGGAATTGGGTCCCGGGTTCTGTACTTACTCACTACATGATTGTGGGGTAAGTCACTTCCCTAAGCCTCAGCTTCCACATCTATAAAATGAGGATAATGATATTTGGACTACCTTCCTCACAGGGTTATTGAAAAAAGGAAAGTAAATCAGAAAGTTCCTTAGAAATGGGATACGCATTCTCCTATCCAGATAGAGCAGTCAACCATCTTGTTCACTGTGCCTTGACTGTGCTATATACTTTTCCTCCTCCATGTCTTTGCTTGTCCTGTTCTTCCCATGTGGAATATCTTCCCTTTCCTTTCCATCTCTGCAAAATCAACATAGACCTTGTGAAATCAATCAATCAAACAATAAACATTTATTAAACTCTTACTATGTGTCAGGCACTGTACTAAGTGCATCCTTCTTGGCCTTGCAAGCCCCACTCTCCAACACATATTAGGGTATGCTCCGATGGGGCACCCTTGGCATAGACCTGATTACCTACACTAAATGTATCTGTTCTTGTTGAGTCGTGTCTGACTCTTCGTGACCCCATTTGGGGTTTTCTTGGCAAAGATACTGGAGTGGTTTGCCATTTCCTTCTCCAGCTCATTTTACAGATGAGGAAACTGAGGCAAACAGGGTGACTTGCTCAGGGTCACACAGCTAGTAAGTATCTGAGGCCAGATTTGAACTCAGGAAGATGAGTCTTCCTGACTCCAGACCCATCACTCTATCCACTGTGCCACCTAGCTGCCCAATAGATATGGATGTACAGGATCACAAATACCGCCCTGCTCTTTGCATTAGGAATGGGATTTCCATAGGATGAGGTGGATTTCCCCCTACTGTACAAGCTTTGAGCCAACCAGCTCCTGGCCAAAACCAAAGATGCTGTTGAGAGAGACCTTGAGAGAGGCATGCCCCGTGGAAGGTCTGTGGGGTGCATTGTCAATGTCCCCATGTTGAATAAATGAATGAAAAGCATTTGTTAAAATATACAAATAGTGTGCTACACAATGGGGAAAAAAAGAAGTGGAACAGTCCTTCCCCTACATTCTAATGGGAGAGGCAATACATATGGAAGGTTTCTGCTACAACTCAGATGGAAAGGTCCCATGGTCCTTAGGTGCAGTGGCAAAGCAGATAATAGTCCATCTTCTTTAATGTCATTTACGCTGATAAAATCATATCCACTTCTCATGCTTCCCACCTCCTGATAGAGAGGTGATGGACTCAGAGAACAGATTGGCACATTTTTTTTTCACGTGACCAATATGGAATTTGTTTTGCTTGACTATATGTTTGTAACAATGATTTTGTTTTTCTTGCTTCCTCAGTTGGTGGTGGGAGGTGGGAGGGAGGGAGATAATGTGGATCTGAAAATAAAATAAAATTTAATTTTAAAAAATCATCTCTATTTCTGCTGTTGAACCATTTGACTGCACCAAGGACTTGGATGATGAGAACCTATTTTTTTCCCTGTATTTTCAAATACACTGTCTTAGATTGGCCATGAATCCTTATTCTCTTGGGGGATAATGAAAAGTATGTTTCTCCCTAAAGCTGGCTCTGTACCACAATCTCCAAATAGGAATGGCCCAGACAACCTCCCTTGGACAGATAAGATGGCAAAGTGAAAAGTGTTTGTTGATTGACTGATAAATCGAATTGAACAGGGAGTTAGGAGACCTGGATTTGAGTTTTATCTCTGCCACTAACCCTTGGGTCAAGATTTAGACTCACACAATTTTGTAACTTCAAAGGATCTTAGAGAACAAGTAGGTCAATTGCCTCATTTTAGAGGGAGAAACTGAGGTTCAGAGCAAGGCCCATGTGACTTTCCCAAGCTTAGAGCCAGGGCTGAAACCCAGGTCTCCCCGACTCCTTGTCCATTTTTTCCATTCAATAAATGTTCCACTCAAGGAAGAAAATGGTTTCTGAGGTATTTTCTCTGACTGTTTGACCTCTCTCTGTCCAAATTCCTGTTTAGGATTCCCTTTTCTTATAAGGAATCAGGGTTCTAGGATTAGCTCTCTCAATAACTAGTCATGTTCCCTTAGCTGACTGCTTGTTTTCCCCTTCTGTCAGATGAGAAGTCAATCTTCTGCTCTTTCCAATATATCATGGATAAATGGGATCTTTCCCTGATTCTTTGATATTTGGGGCTGGCAAAGAAATGGAAATTAAGGGGGAGCCCCTCAACCACAGAATGATAGGATAAAGTATGCTATATTAATGTAGGGGAATACTATTGTGCCATAAGAAAGGATGAGGTAGATGGCTTCAGAGAAACGTGGGGAGACTTGTCTGAACTGATGCAGAATGATTGGTGCAGAGCCAGAACATCTCACATCATAACAACACTATAAAATGAATAACTCTTTAAGAACTCTGACCAATACAACGATCAACTATGATTCCAGAGGACCACTGACACATGATGCTGCCTACCTCTCGACCGACAGAGAGGTGATGAATTCAAGATGCAGGCCAAGACACGTATTTTTAGAGATGGCTAGTCTCGAAGTTTATTTTTCTTGACAACAAATATTTGTCATAAGAGTTTTGCGTTCTTTCCTTCTCAATGGGGGTAAGTTAGGAGAGAGGAAAAAAGGATTATTAATAAAAATTTAAATAAATATATTTATAAATATGAATATATAGATATTTATAGATATATACATGCATATTTAAACATTAATAAATATTTAAAGGGGGGAAACCCCAAGGTGGCATGGTATAAATAGGAGTGGGGAACCTGCGACCTCAAGGCCACATGTGGCCCTCTAGGTCCTCAAGGACAGCCCTTTGACCGAATCCAAACTTCACAGTGTGGGGAAGGGGTGATGGGATTTGGATTCAATCAAAGGGCCGCACTTGAGGACCTAGAGGATCACATGTGGTCTTGAGGCCGCAGGTTCCCCACTCCTGCTAGAATGATAATTGTTTTTGAAATCACAGGATTCAAATTCACATCCTTCCTCTGTCACTTTCTATCTCAGTTTCCTCACCTATGAGGATGGGCTAGAATAGCCTCTGAGCTCTAAATCTACCATACTATGAAACTGCTATTCAGAAGTCACTTATCTGAGGTCACACAGCTGGGGCATAGGACAGCTAAAGAGAAGAGAAAGGAAACCATGAAACTATGCTAATGGTCATCTCAGATTCTTGAAGTTTATTTGGCCTCCATTCTTTGAGGATCATTTGCTCCCAGGATTTTCACAGGGAAATGTTTCAACGTTGTAAATCAATCTTCTTTCTTCAAAGCAAGAGAAAAGGAAAGGGTCAAAAGGGTGGAAGGGGAAATCTGAGTCCTTAGAAAATAAAAATAAAAATAAAAAAACCCTTGAAAAATACGAAGAGCGGCTTCTCTCCAACTTGTTATCATTCCCATCCCCACCATCTTCAGTACCTGGGTCTCATGGGAGTCGATCCTAAGCTTCTCTCTCACTTTCCTTCTGGGACCAGCCTCCTTCTTCCCTAAACCAAATCCCAGACTGGGGTCGAGCTGGTTTGGGTGGGTCCAACCCCCAAAGAGGAGCTGAGCCTCTGCAGCTCTCTCCCAAAGCTGGCTGGTTTTAACTTGCCCATTGCCTTTCCCCACCCCAGCTTCACTGAGGCATCTACGTGCATCCAGAAGCCCTTGGGGTGTCATCATTTTGCTTACTAAGCTGACATTTCAGGGAAAGGCAAATAGTGTCTCCAAGACCCTGGATGACTGTAGCCAGCATCCAGAGAAAAGGCCCTGAATATCTACAGATACTCAGCCAAGGCGTTGTGCAATATTGGCTTAAATCACCTTTGGGGAGCTGCTCTGGCCAGCAAGATTCAGTGTCAGGCATCCTATTATTCCCTCCTCAAATCCCTCCAACCCTAGATAGAATCACTCTTTTTATTAGAATTTCTCTTGCTTTGCTGGGGGTGGTTGATCTGGTTTCAACCTTGCGTCAGTTTGGTTTGCTTTTCTAGGTCTGATAATACACAGTGATATGGGCAGCCAGTAATCAGCTCTGGGGATGGAATGCAACTTTGGCCATAGAATATCAGATCTGAAAGGGTCCTTAGGTCAAAGGAGGTTAGATTTGAGGGGAACCTTAGAACACAGAATGTCAGAGCTGAGAGAGATCTTAGAACTGAGAATGTCAGAGCTGGAAGGGGCCTTAGAACAGAGAACGTCAGAGCTGTGACAGGGCCTTAGGACCCAGAATGTCAGAGCTGGGAAGGATCTTAGAACTGAGAATGTCAGAGCTACAAAAGACCTTAGAACATCAGGTGTCAGAGATGGGACAGCACTATAATATAGAATATTAGAACTGTTAGAGGTAGAAAGTACTAGAGCGAGAAGGGACCTTAGACTATAGGATGTCAAAACTGGAAGGTGCCTTGGAACACAGTGGCTGAGCTAGAAGAAATCATAGAACATTAGGCCATCCCATGCTAGGAGAAACCTCAGAAGGTAGAATTTTGGAGCTGGAAAGGATCCTCATCTAGGAAACTGACTCTGATTGGGGAAAATTGGGGATTTGTCTAAGGGCAGACAAAGGCTTTGTCATCTATGGTTGCTTTTTCTCAGATTGGCGTCTTGACTCGGAATGAGTTGGGACAAAAAGTTTGTCTCAGCCCAGTCATTCAGTGCATTTCCCCTCAGCCCTGTTCTTTAGAATAAGAGCCAGGTTTTTGAACAGAAGAGACAAATGGATGTTTTTAAGAGATGATCTGAGGCACATCAGACAAGAGCACAAAGCCCTATCTTATCCCTGGACAGGCAAGGAGGGTCTCTGCCTTATCATTTGTCTAGGTGCCTGCAATTTCACTTATTCTTTTATTTGGATCATAAACCCTTCTCCTCAGAATACCTTGAAACCCTACTAGTTCATAGTTAGAAACAGAGGATGATGGTGAGGAGCACCTTAAGTTATTTTTAATCAGTATTTTAAGAGGGATTCGTTTTCTCCACAAAACAATGCCCCATTAAATGTGGCAAGACAGTGGCCCAAGAGATTAGCCCTTGTGGGGCCAGGAGTCCATATTTGTCCACATTTTTGGCATCTCAGAGTGGATTTGAACTTTTCATTTTTGTATATAAACTGCAAATACCTGTTATGACAGTTTTTCCCCATTACTTAAAAATAATCATTCAAATTAACATGTTAATTCAATTTTGTCTCTGTTCTCTTTAAGAATTTTCTTCTGCTCTCTACTATTCTTTTAATGGGGGTGTGTGGGATATTGAAGGAGGATTAGCACCTCTAGTGTGAGGGCTTGCTGAGCCCTTTTCAGGGTTGCTCGTCTACCTTTGGTGTCCACCTGCCACTCAACTTTCACCTATAGCTCCAGCAAACTGTAGCATGTACAGAGGCCACACCCCAGAAATTGTCTCACCAGACAAGCTTGAGGATAATCGATGGGCCTCAGATCTGTCAGTGAATTAGGCAGGTACCTACCCCAAGCATGTGAAGACTTCTCCCGGAAGAATGGGTGGATGAGAACAATTTGTTCTACTAACCACGAAGGCGGCTGAAGCAGGCGTTGTGGAGCGCTTAGAGCTTGGTCAGGCATTAAAGATGCCAAGGTCATCCACTGCATCCCTGGCTATCACCAGTCATCTTGACTTTTGTTTTGCCACTGGACTTTGATAATTCTAGAAGAGAGAGTGAGGCTGATGACTTTGTGTAATTGCCTCATTTAAATCCAATTCACACACAAGTCAAGGCATCACCTTGTGATGTCATTGGTCCTCTTTAAAAACAAAAGACATTCTTTTAATTACTTATTGATGTTTTTTTCTTTTTTATTTCTTCTTTTTTTTTAGTATTCCTGTAACTCTTCTTCTCCACTATTCCAAACTCCCTTTCTTCTTTCCCAGAAAAAAAGGCATCCCTTCTAACAAGTATAGTTACACAAAACAGATTCATGCAATGACTATGTTTTAAAGGGTTTGTCTCATTTTCTATGCCTGTAGTCCAACACCTCTGTGCCAAGAGGTGGGAAGTTTGATTCATCATCAGTTTTCTGGGGTCATCATTGGTCATTGCATTAATCAGCATTCTTAATTCTTTTGCAATTGTTTTCCTTGATAAGGTTTAGTCATGTATAAATGGTTCACCTGGTTCTGCCAACTTCACTATGAATTAGTTCATGCACAGCTTCTCATGTTTCCCTCCCCATAGTCAAAACCTTTTAAAAACAGGTTTCATTGATGTTGTACCCATTTCTACATGTCCATTCCTCCACTCCTGCTAAGCTGTCTGTTGTAACAAAGCAAAACCAGCCCACATACTATCCATGTCTCATAGTGGATGCAACATCCTATATGTGGTACAGTGGAAAAAGCATGGACTCTGGAATCAGACGACCAGGTTCAAATCCTGCCTATGAAAACTACTATCTACATAACCTGGAGCAAATCACTTAACCTCCCTGGGCCTCAGTTTCTTCACATGCAAAATGAGGTAATTGGACTAGTTGACCTCTGCAGTTTCTTCCAGCCATGAGTATGCTCATGGTCTCTTGCCTCTCTAACAAGGTTTCTTTCACATGAACTGTTGTCTTCCATATCCTCGTGTACTTGTGGAGTTGGTTTTTTAAAACAAAAATGTAGAACTTTGCACTTGTCCCTGTGACAGGCGAAAGATGAAATGACTGAGGAAACAAAGGTTCAATTTCCCGAAAATATTGATTTATTAAGCAATGCATGCCAATTGCCTAACAAAGTGGGACCAGACCTCCACAGCTTAGGCCTGGACCCTGAATATAGCAGGGGACAGACTTTTATACATTAAAAGCAGTTAATCAAATAAAGCCAATTAAGTAAAAGGAAACAATACAACATACTATCTGATTTCTAATTAGATGAAAGATTAGGGATGTTCCAAGTTGGGAGGGGGTGAGTGAACAGATGCAATTCCCTGATATAAAAAAAAGGAGATATCCCATTCCCCTAAGTGTCTGTAAATAATCGAAGGAACGTGGAAACAATAACTGATTGATCAGTATGGGGCCAATCTTCAGATAAGACATATGGATTGCTTGAGATGTAAAACTGTGAGAAAACTCCATGCATCAATCTTTTGGTTCTGGCCAGGTTTCTGGACAGCATAACTTAGTGCTTAGAGCCTAGCTATGCAGGGCTAGGTTCAAACAATACAGTAAGCTTTTCTCCCAATTCCCACAACTGAATAAAGTTTCCTCACAAGATAGAAACCGGACTAGACCAATAATTGAATAGAAAGGAAACTGAACTAGCTCCAGACCTGAGTCACAAGATGGAGTCAATGGGGTTTACTCAATTCCCAAAATTAACCATTTACTGCCCTAATTCCCTCAATTCCCTCATCTCTTCAATGTCACCATGTGCCCCATTATCACATCCAATGACTTTTTTGGATGCTAATTGATGCACTCTCTCTGCCTCCAACTTTGTGTCATTCCCAAATTTAAGACTGCCACCTAGATTCCTTAATCCAAGTCATTTATGATGAGATCAATCAGAATAGAATCAAGTAGTGGTTCTTGGGGCTCTGCATTTGATCCTTCCCTCCAAATTGACCTATTAATAATTTGAGTCCAGTCATTCAAATAGTTCTGAACTCACCTCACTGTCCTCTGATCCAGTCCATGTTTCTCCATCCTTCCCACAAAATCATAAAAGACTTTCTCAAATTCTTTGCTGAAACTCAAGCTGAAATCTGTGGACATTGTGTCCACAGTGTTTCCCTGGTGAATAACCCTATCCAAAAAAAAAAGAAAGAAAAAGAAAAAGAAAAAAGAAAGAAAAGAAAAGAAGAAAAAAAAGGAAAATGTTATTCTGGTATGATCGCTACTTTTTCTAAGCATTCACAAAGTATCCCTTTAATAATACAGCTTAGAATCTTGCCAACAATCAAAATTAACTTCACTGTCCTATAGTCTGAAAACTCTCCTCTTTCCTTTTTTCAAAAAATCAGACAACATTTGCCTGTCATCAATCTCGTGGCACCTTTCCTGCCTGCCAAGGTTTTTCAAAGATTGCAGACAGTAGCTAAGCAATCCTATCCAGTTCATTTAGTACCTTAGGGTGCTGTTTCTACAAGCCTGGTGATTTGAACTTGTTGAGAGAAGGCTAAGTGCTTAAATGAGAACACGTTGGTAAATGTTTAGTAAACTTTGAGAGCACTGTGTAAATGCCAGTTCCGATTAGAGGTCACAGGTTCCCCACCCCTGGATAACTATTACTGCCATCATTACAGAATCTTAAGTGTAGAGCTTGAAGGGACCTCCAAGGTTATTAGCCCAATCCCCTCTGCCATTTTACAGATGAGGAAGTAGCTTGGCCAGGATCACCCTGGTAAGCAGGCAGCACTATTTCTTGTCTTCCATTGGGTCTCAACTTTCTGTTAATTTTTTTTGTTAATTCCTTCCATACAATTATTCTCCTGGGTAGAAAAAATAAAAGAAAGAAAAGAGCTTGAGTGCCGCCTTCTCTCCATCACCCTCTCCACCATGAAAAGAGCCAATCCCATCTTTCCCCTTCCTCTCTTGCCCCAAATATAGCTAAGAGCCTTTGTTCCTGTATTTAGCATCCATTCCCTCTGCTCAGACTGAGCTTTAATTTTTCTCACACTATTCGCACAGGCTGTGACAGGCATTTGTACTCATCCCCCATTATCTGCCCTTGTCTCTATCTCCTAAAACATTTTTAAACTCTGAGTTGGCTGATGGGTTCCCTGCATGTTTTAGTTTTGGTTTCTTTCAACAGCTCAGCTAGAGGGGACTTCAGAACTCAGTCAAATTTCATCATTTTGTGGATGAGGAAACTGAGGCCTAGGAGAGGGAAGTAACCTGCCCGAGGTCAGGTATGTAATAAGTATCACGGGTGGGATTTGAACACATGTCCTCTGACTCCAGAGTCAGCATTCATTTCACTGCACCACGCTGCTTCCTTATCGGAATCATTCGTATGTTTTTGTTGTCATGGAATTGCCTTTTTTCATACCATCTCTCTTAGGCCAACATTGTTGCTGCTTCGTCATTTTTAATCATGTCTGACTCTCTAAGACCCCATTTGGGATTTTCTTGGTAAAGATGCTGGATTGGTTTGCCATTTCCTTCTCCAGCTCATTTTACAGATGAGGAATCTGAGGCAAACAGGGTGAAGTGACTTGCCCAGGGTCACACAGCTAGTAAGCATCTGAGGCTGGATTTGAACTCATGAAGATGAATATTCTTGACTCCAGGTCTGGTGCTTTATGCATTATGCTGCTGCCTAGCTGCCCTTTGAGCCAACTTACCCTGTAAAAATTTAGGAGGTGTAGGATCCTATGGCCTCTTTCTGAACTCTTCAATACATCCTCTGCTAATCTAAGATGTCTACCAGACTGTGCTTGGCTTTTCATTCTCCTGGAATCCCAGGGCTCAGAATCCTAGCCCCGAGCACTTCCCTCCAACCTCTGCTATCATCTTCACTTTGATGGGTCCTTTGGCTGTTGCCGTTCTCTTGGTCTCTGTTTCCTCAGTTCTGTCTCTGAGCCCGAGATGGCCTGATTCATTCCGTTTTTACCATCCCAACCCTTGATTTAATAGGACTCATGATCATGACTCATACAGGGCAGGGGCAATCTGGGAATGGGGATCAGGTAACCAAGCAGGAATTGCAAATGTGGATGTCTAGACCTAGTGGGAAGTAGACATAGAGAAGAAGAAGCAAGATCAAGAGCACAGGCGTTCTCACTAAGACAAGGTTAGATCACAAGGAAATCATTCAAGAGGGACACATCTTTCATGGTTCAGGCTTCCAAGCAGAGGTAGATCCCCAGCACAGAGGAGAGAGCTTCTAGGCTTAAAAATTCACTTATACCTGGCAGATTGTTTCCCTTTCCCTCCCCACAATTTGCAGGTTAATTCCCTTCTAACTTCAGTCCTTGGACTTAGACTTTCCTGCTCTTGGTGAGATTTCACCCCCCACCTCCCACCCCAGTCTAGGAGTAACCAAGCATTCAGTATCAGAGTCCAGAAATAGGCAAGTATTGTCCATTGTATGGGTGTGGTGACTGAGTCATAGTGAAGTCTACTGATCTGACTCAAGTCTTCCACTAGGTAGATGGTAGGAGGGGTGGGGGGAATTGTCCCAAGTTTCTTCACTATACCAATAGTGGTTTGTAAGATGGAATAGAATGATACCTCAAAGGGCTGGTACATTGGAAAAACCAAAATCTAGAGTCACGGAAATTGGTTCAGATTTCATCTTTGGTGTGAACTGGTCCAACCATTCTGGAGAACAATTTAGAACTACATCCTAAAGGGATAGAAAAGCTGTGTATACCCTTTGACCCGGCAATACCACTACTAGGTCTGAATCTGAAAGAAATTGTTAAAAAGGCAGAAAAGGATTTATTTGTGCAAAAATACTTATAGCAGCTTTTTTGTGATGGCAAAGAACTGCAAATTGAGAGGATGTCCATTAGTTAGGGAATAGCTGAACAAGTTATGATATATGATTGTGATAGAATACTACTGTGCTAAAAGAAATGAATAAAGGGATGGTTTAAAAAAGACACACAGGAAGACCTATGTGAACTGATACAACGTGAAGTGAGAAGAACCAGCAGAACATCGTATACAGTGATAGCAGTATTGTAACCATAATCAACTGTGAAAGACTTAGCTACTCTGATCAACACAGTGATCCACAACAATTTCAAAGAACTCATGATAGAAAATGTTATCCACAGTCAGAGAGAGAACTGATGAACTTTGTGTGAAGATTGGAGCATATTTTTTTCATTTTTCTTGCTTTTTTTTGCAACATGCCTAATATGGAAATATGTTTTGAATGATTTAACATATATAATGTGTACCATATTGCTTGCCTTCTCAATAAATAGGGGAAGGGCTGGGGGGAGGGAGAGAATTTGGAACTCCAAATTTAAAAAATGAATATTAAAAATTTTGTTGGTTTTTTTTTAAGCTAGGCAATGGGGTTAAGTGACTTGCCCAGGGTCACACAGCTAGTAAATGTGATGTGTCTGAGGCCACATTTGAACTCAGGTCCTCCTGAATCCAGGGCTGGTGTTCTATCCACTGCGCCACCTAAGTGCCCTAAAAATTTTTTTTAAAGAAAAGTCAAAGAAACAAAAAATAATTCATCTCAGATACTTTCTGCCTGTGAAACATTGGGCCTCATTTTCTTCCTCTATAAAATTAAAGGGTTGGACTAGAAGGGCCTCTGAGGCCCCTTCCAGGCCTAGATCTCTGATACTATGATATTCGGTTTTGTGACCTTGAGTAAGCCCCTTAACATCTCTGGGTCTCAGTTTCCTCATTTTGTCAAATGAAGCAATTGAACTAGATGGTCTTTGAAGTTTACCCAGTTCTATCCCAGTGATTCTCTGATGAAAGAACTCTAACATTTCTCCCAGCTCTAACTAGGTGAATTCTGTGAGTATCATTAGTCTGTTCCTTCTCATCACAGTTGGGTCCAATACCAGAATGACTCGTCTAAAAATAAAACTTTGACCATTAACACAGCAGCAGAGGGAATGCTACAGAGCCCAGTTTGCTACAGAGCCCAGTTTCATTATCTCCCCATCCTGCAAGGCAAGGACTATTACCTGGAGAAGTGGAAGAGAAAGGAAGAGCATTTATTTACTCAGAAAGTCTAGCCAAATGGTGCTGTCTGGTCCCCATGGCCTCTAGTTACCCCTACTCTGAGGAGCCAGAAGGGCAGGGGTCCACAGGCTTCACATGCAAGGGAGGCTGAATTGGAAGGCCTGTAGCCACTTCCAAATCCTCCCCAGCTTGGCTCTGAGGCCCAGAGGTGCCTTTATGCACCTTCGATCTTCAAAGACCCTCCAGTTCCAATCTTCAGACCCCCTCACCTGCTCCATCTCCCCCAGGGAAGGTGTTTTTGGCCCCAGTAAACTATAGAAACAGAAAGGAAAAAAAATCCTCAATGATGATCATTCATATAGCTCTTCACCCTTTATAAAGTGTATGCATGTCAGCGTGACATCATGAAAAGAACCTTGGATTTGGAGATGAAAGTCCTCAATTTGTTGAACCCTGGCTCTGCCCCTGACTGGCAGTGCAATGATCAACAGGCCACTTAGTTCTAGGAGCCTTGTTTTCCTAGCTTCTAACCCCCCAGGATGGTCACTGGATTACGGAATACATAAGGTATCAGAACACTGGAAAGTGATGGGGGAGGGGAGGAATTATAAAGAGCTTTGAGTCAGGAAGACCCAAATTGGAGTCCTCCCCGAGCCACATACCAGCTGAAGCAAATAGTACAGGTTACCTTATGTCTTGGTGCCCTAAACAACTCAAAGTCACAGTAGACTGGTGCCAACCCGTATCGGTAACAAATTTCATCACTGGGATCTTTCTCTACTGATGAAATCATAGGTCCAATTGAAAAAAAAAAAAGGTACAGGTCTAACCACGTCTCTCCCATACTCAAAAGTCTCCCATTTGCCTCCAGGAAAAAATAGAAATTCCTCACCTCGGCATTTATATGTCTGCACGGTCTGGTCTCAACCCACCTTTTCATAATTATTTTCATTCACTCTACATTCCAGGCAAACCAACCAGCTTACTGTTCTCTACCACATTCCATCTCATGCCTTAGCACAGGCTGCTGCCCTACATATCAGAATCCTTGTTTGAGGAAGCAGGCAGAGGTTAAATGACTTCTGGGGAGTCCAGAATGAAAGAAAGATGGCTTAGTGGAGCACTAGACTTAGAATCAGGAAGCCCTGGGGGGTTCAAAGCCTCACACAAGCTGTGCAAGTCACTTAACCTTTGTTTGTCTCAATTTCCTCATCTGTAAAATGGGAATTAGAATAGCACTTACCTCCCCGAGATTGTCCTGAGACTGAACCCATGGTTAAAGAACTTAATCTATGAGTTTCAATTTCCCCATTTGTAAAGCAGAGATAATAATAGCTGTAGTGCCTCACTCACAAGATTGCAGCAAGGCTCCGATGAGATGATTTATGTACAGTGCCTTGCAACCTCAAAGTGCTGTATTAAATATCAGTTATTGCAATTATTATTATTCCATTTTCCCCATCTTTCGGATAGGGTCCAAATCAATCAATCAATCAATCGATCAATAAACACTTGTTAAG